GGCTGTATTATAGCACAGTATTTTCTTTTTTTGCCTTTAGGATGCTGAGGAAAGAAAATTTAAAAAAATAGTTTATGTTGAAATATATGTATAAGAAGCATTAAGAAAAACACATACTAGAAAAATTCACAGTTAAATGAATATGTATGCGCAGTTATAAGTTTGAAGTCTCAGGTTTTTAAATATAATAACAAGTAAGACCTATTTTGATGGCCTTGTGGCAAGAAGCTGCCCTGAAATCCCACAGGCATGAGGTTCAAGGCCATCAGCTGCTCCGTGGGGAAAGGAGGGCAATCTCCTCTCATGTGATTAACCGCCTCTGAAAACCCACCAGAGGGTCAGCTATGGGTCAGTTCCAACTCTATGGTACACAACAACAACTGTAAATAATAGGGAGCTCTGGTGGCCTAGAGTTAAGAAGCTGCACTGTAATTCCAAAGGCATATGGTTCAAATCTGCCCAGTGGGAGACAGATGGACAATCTCCTCCTATGTGATTTCCTGCCTCTGAAAACCTGCTGAAGGGTCAACTATGAGTCGGTTCTGATTTGACAACATGCAACAGCAACAACTGTATATATGCAATAGCTATACCCCACCAACCACACTGTGTTTACAGATATGATGTTGGACACTATGTCAGTGATATTTAAAAAAATTAGTAGGGTCATCAATTATGGACAGGTTCCAGCAGAGTTTCCACACAAGACATAGATCTACTTCTGAAAATTGGCCAATAGACATCACATAGACCAGCAGAAAATTACCTAACCCACTTGCTTTGGTCATGTCATCAGAAGGAATCAATTGCTGAAGGACAGTACTGTGTTTGGGAAGCAGATGACCAATGAAAATGGGAGATTATTGGAGAGGTAGACTGTGGCACAATGGCTGCAATAAAAGACTCAAGATATGCCGGTAATTGTGAGAATGATTTAAGACCGGGCAATATTTTAGTCTGTGTTGTTGTTATTGATTGCCTTCAAGTCGAACACAACTCATAGCAACTCTATGAACAAAAGGCCTGAAGCCCAAAGATTCCGTGAGGCAATGACAGCAGCTAAAAACAGCACCTATGTGCTAGGCATTATTCTGAGTGTTTTTACATGTATTGAAGTGCTAATCAAAAGGTCATCAGTTCAAACCTATGAGACACTCTTAGGGAAAAAGAGAAGGTAGTTTTATCCAGTAAAATTTATAACCTCTGAAACCAATGGAGGGTCATCATAAATTGGAATCAACCTGGACAACAAAAGATTTGGTTTACATGACTAACTAATTAATTCTCATGACAGTTCCTAGAAATAGATACTATTATTATCTCTGTAGACTAGCAAACTGAAGCACATCACCTGAAAACAATTACCTAAGGAAAACAACAGAAATTGTGGGAATTAGGGTAAGGGAATGGTTAAGTATAATATTCTAAGAAGAAATTAGTATCACAGTTGATTGTGAAGAAGGAAGATAGAAGAATGCTCTAGGCTATGGTGAAATAAAGCAACAAAAACACTAAAGAGATCTGGGAAAGATAAAAGAGAAGCATAAAAAAAAGCATAGCCCAAGGAAGAGGGGGAAAAAAATAATTGGAAAGAAAGTAGATTTTACAGGGAATATCTGCTGTCAAGGACCTCATTAAAGTTCCAAAGAGCAAGGATACTGTTTTGACTGTGGTGTGTCTGACTCTACATTAATTTAAATTAAGATTGCCTCAGAATTTAAAACAATTTTGAGCCAAATCAAAACAAATTCATTTATTTTGAATTTCATTCTATCTCACTTTATATGACTTATTGATGTCAGATAGATTTGTCTAAAAGCAGATAATACCAGAAAGCTGTTTAATTGTGATTTATTGGCTATGAAAAGGCAGTCAACTTTATGGATTATAATAATTTATGGATAATATTAAATAGAATGGTATGGTGTAGTGTGTTTATTTTTAAAAATGTCTTTTCTGACCATTGGCAGAAATTATTGGATAGGAATATGAAATAGGGTGCATATAAACAATTGATGATGGAAGGGATTAGTTTTCCCATCTCACTGAGTTTAAATTAAGCGGGTTTAGCAACAGAAGATAAGACTCTCACTGCCAGCAATGAAGAAGAAGCAGCACAGAATACAAAATGCATTCTTGGGGCCTGAGATTTCTGTGCCAACCAAACTGGGACATACATCAAGGCAGCAACAGCCTCAGGGGAGAACCAGAGACTAGCATTTGATAAAATTTACTTGGGTCTCCTGCCTCATGGAGTCAGAGTCAGAGACTATCACCCAAGTTTGGCTGAGGACTGAGGTATGAAGGTGCATTGCAAACCCAAAGGCATATGGTAAGAGGTAACCAGCTGCTCCATGGGAGAAGGATGGGCAATCTCTTTCTGTGTGATTAATTGATTGTCTCTGAAAACCCACTGGAGGGATGGGTCGGTTCTGACCTGACAGTACACAACAAACAGCAATACAGCTTTGTCACACTAACCTAAACTATGAGGCTAAAGGCCAAAGGACCCCAAACAAATTGAGAAGCAGACTTGACTGAGGAATTCTTTCCTGTTGCCCTTCAAATATGTATCTATGAGATCTGTGTGGTCATCGCAATGAATTTCATACTCCGTAGTAGAGCAGAGAAGGAAATGGCACAGCACAGGACAGGGTTCACGTATGTTGTTCATAGGGTCATTATGAGTCATATTTGACTTGATGGCACCTAAAACCAAAAATCAACAGTAGAACAGTACAATCAATGTTGGAATTAGTAGAAGTAGGAACAGAAAGTTTAAGGTTGTATCTGACTTTATGGAAAATGGCTTTGTATTGTGGATGTGGCTGATGGAAAAATTGCCCCCTTTGTGATGTTAAAAGAGCTCAGCTGTGGAATGTATCCATATGGCCAACACATTTTTTTTTCAAAACTAGAACTCCAAAACAAATCATCAGCGTATTTAATTATGCTCATGCAAAACCTGTGTATAGATGAACACACAGTTCTTAAAATAGAACAAGAGGATATTACATTATTTAAAATCAGGAAGTGTGTGCATGAGGGTTGGATCCTTTCTCGACACATACTGATTATGTGTGTTGAGCAAATTATTTCAGAACTAGACTAAGAAAAATGTGACATCAGGATTGTAGGAAGATTCATTATTGCCCACTTGCTTGCAGGTTTGACTAGCAGATATAGCACCAGAGGATGAGCCTTCCTACAGGAAATCACAAAGGAGAAGAAACAGTTGCAAACAGACTCTAATTTAGACTGGATCATGGAATGTGAAAAGAATGCAGGAAAATTTAAGACTATTAAAGAAATGGAGCACAGAAACATTGATATACTAGACATTGACAAAATGAAATAGATTGGCATGGAACATTTTGAATCAGACAATCAGATGATCCACTATGCTGGAAATGAAAAGGTGAGAAAAACAGAGTCACATCCATGAACCAACAACCAGAGCCAAAGAGGAGATAGATGACTTCTACCGACTGTTGCAGTTGGAAATCAATCAAATATGCAAGCAGGATGCACTACTAATAATGGGTGACTGGAATGCAGAAGTTGGGAATGGAGAAGGATCAGTAGTAGGAAAACATGGACTTGGTGACAGAAATGAAGGCTGGAGATAGAATGATAGCATTCTGTACAACGAATGATTTATTAATCTCAAATATCTTTTATAAAGAAACATACTATACACATAGACCTCACTCGAGAGCCTACACAGGAATCAGAATGCTTACATATGTGCAAAAAATCAATGGAAAACTCTTCTGGTATTCTTTACTTTCAGCCAGAATCCATCTAACATCAGCAATAATACCCCTGGTGCCACAGCTTCTTCTAAATCCTGCCTGAACTTCTGGCAGTTCTCTATCTATGTACTGTTCTAGTTGTTTTTGAATGATCTTCAGCCGTATTTGTATGGTGATAATGAGAGTAAGTTACTTTGATTTCATTGAAAGTCCAGTGTAAACTGTTTGGCCATTGTTTTATTTTCTTAGCACTTAAGAGTAAACTGGTTAGCAGTTTTAATTTAGTTAACAGCTGTGGGCTGGAAGCCTCTTCTTTAAGCAATCAGGATCTGGTGGGCAGGCCTTTGTATTTAAAAATCAATTGAGTCCTGCCTAAGAGACTCCAATTTGGAGCAGTTGGATTCTGCTGGGTAGCTTGTTTTAATTTAATTGAAAGTCTGGTGCAAACTGTTTGGGTGTTTTTTATTTTGTTAACAATCAAGAGTAAGCTGGCTGGCAGTTTTTAGTTAACAATCAGTTGTGGGTGGAAAGCCTCTTATTTAAGCAATCAGATCTGGTGGGTAGGCCTTTTGTATTTAAAAGTCAGTTGGTGTTAATTGTCTTTGGGGAGAACATTGTTCTAAGTGACACAGCACTTATCTGTCAGTTTACTGTACTGAGATACCTTGGTGTTGCTCTGCTGCTGAAACCTGTGCCACTGGGATTACTCACTGGGAACAGGTTTTAATAGAATTCTCTAATTAAGACAGACTAGGAAGCAGGATGGGCCAGCTACTTCTTAAATAACAGGCCTTTGAAAACTCTATGAACCCTAAAGGAATGAGGGGAATGAGGGTATTTATAGTAGTGTAGTGGTAGAGCCCAGAAAGGAAGGCAGTTGAAAGTAGTAAAAACAGCAAGCATCATTTAATAATTGGAACATGGAATGCACATAGCTTCAATGTTGGAAAACTTGGAAATTGTTAAAAATGAAATGGAACATGACCAATATTGTTGTTGTGTTGTTGTTATGTGCCGTCGAGTTGCCTGCGACTCATAGCGACCCTATGAACAACAGCCCTAAACTCCGCTCTGTCCTATGCCAATCGCACTGTCTCCAACACTCCCATCCCAATTATCCCAGTCACTGAATCAATACACCTCATAGAGGGCCTTCCTCTCCTGCGCCGGAAAATATGTGAAGAGGCATTAAAAAAATCATTTGCAAAAATAACATAATCTTTTTTTTTTAATTTTCCCATTCAGTTATACCTCTTCAGAATGTTTTATGTTGCAGACAGCTCTGGACATAGAAATGTTTTCTCTCAATGTGTAACACACTGCAGCTTTCCACAATGGTGGCATCAAGCCTTTTACAACTTTTTCACCTTCAGCTGCCTCTTCATCATCCCTCTGTTCATCATGTTGATCTGCAACGTTAAAATCATCTTTACCTTGACACAGCAACTTCATCAGAATCCCAACAGTACGTATTTATTTGTTTTCGTCACAATTGTACTTTTTTAACAGTTAACACGAAAGTTGAGTGGCACTTAATGCATATTAGGTATTGTTTTAAGAAATTAATATATTTTAACTTATTTAATATTCAAAACCATCACATGTGATGTATACTTTTCTTCTTTCCAATTTACAGATGTTGTTAGGCAACACAGAAGTGACTCTAAGTCATTGTGAACCTATGTACCAAAAAGCAAAATCATGCTTGATCCTGAATCATCCTCACAAAAGTCTATTTTAAAATCAATCACTGTGTCAATCTATCTCCTTCAGCGCCTTCCTCTTTTCACTGTCTCATTACTTTACCAAGTCCTTCTCCAGGGACTAGAGCCCTTCCTGATAGCATGTCCAAAGTATGTAATATTAACTTTTGGCCATCCTCTATTCTAAGGAGCATTCAGGCCACTCTTCTTATAAGACAGATTTGTTTGTTCATTCGGTAATCAATGATATGTTATATGTTCATTGATAATACTACAATTCAATATTTTAGATACTTTAAAAAAATTTCCTTATTCATTGCTCCATTTTCACATGCATATAATGAAGCAATTGAAAAATACCTTGACTTGGATCAAGTGTACCATAGACATCAAGTTGACATTCTTGCTTTTAAGCACTTTTAAGAGGTCCTTGAAACAAATTTACTCATTTTATTATGTCTTTTTACTTCTTGATTGCTTCCTCAGATGTTGCTTGTGGAACTAAGTAAAATGAAATCCTTGGTTACTTCTGTAGTTTCTGCATTTATCATGATATTGTTTCTTGGTCTAAATATAAGAATTTCTGTTTTCTTCATGTTGAGGTGTGACCTATACTGAAGGCAATAGTCTTTGAGTTTCACAAGTAATTTTCTGCTATTATAAATTTTTATTATATAATTAAAGACAAAAAGAGCAATTACTTCATTTACTTAAGATAAATAAACACTAGTAAACTGTTAAACCTAGATCATATTGAAATCAAAACCCAATTGATGTCAAGTTAAATTTTATTCATTTTGGCTCCCATATGTGAGAACAGAACTGTACAGTGTTTTTACTAGCTGATTTGTCAAAAGTCGTTTGCCTCACCTTCTTCCGAAGACATCTCTAGGACAACTTGAACTCTCAACTTTTTAGTTAGCAGCATAGTACAGTAACCATATGCACTACTCACTCTTTAAAAAGCACTTCATTTCCAAAATATAAAAACCCAACAGGCTAAATTCTAGCCAATAGATTTGTTTAAGCTCTGGTGGTCTAGTGGCAAGAAGCTATGCTACAATCTTGAAGGTATGTGGTTTAGGGTCACCAGCTGCTCTACAGGAGAATGGGAAATCTCCTTTAGTGTGATTAATTGCCTCTGAAAACACGCCAGAGGGTCAGTTATGGATCAGTTCGGTGGCTACAGTACACAACAACATCATCATTCTGTTCCATCGTCAAATTTCTTAAATCTGCACAACACAAACTATGGACATTGTAATGTTGTATAAGTTAGGTCTCTTTTGCTTCTGTAATTAGGTACATTTCTAAAACCTAAAATTTATAACTTTATGAAGGAAGCATGCATATAGTGGTATGACAATATCATAGTATATAAGTTATACCTGATAGAGTTTAATAGGGTTGTTGTTGTTGTTGTTATGTGCCGTCGAGTCACCTGGGACTCATAGCGATGCTATGTACAACAGCCCTAAACTCCGCTCTGTTCTGTGCCAATCGCACTGTCTCTGACACTCCCATCCCAATTATCCCAGTCACTGAATCAATCCACCTCATAGAGGGCCTTCCTCTCCTGCGCCGTCCCTCCACCCTCCCAAGCATGATGTCCCTCTCCAAGGACCGGTCTCTCCTCACTACATGTCCGAAGTAAGTTAGACGGAGCCTCAGAATCCTTGCCTCCAAGGAGCCACCCGGTTTAACCCTCTCCAGGACAAATCTATTTGTTTTCCTAGCAGTCCATGGTATTCTCAGTACTCTTCTCCAGCACCACAGCTCAAAGGCATCAGTTCTCCTTCTATCCTCCTTGGTCATTGTCCAACTCTCTGATGCATAACAGGTGATTGCGAAGACCATGGCCTGTATCAGACGCACCTTAGTCTCCAGAGAGACACCACTGCTCTTCAGCACTTTGGAGAGGTCCCTAACAGCAGACTTTCCCATGGCAATGTGCCTTTTAATTTCCTGGCTGCTGGTGCCAAGACTGTTGACTATGGAGCCAAGCAAACTAAAGCTGTGTACAATCTCAATCTCTTGTTATCTCTTAAATTGCTCACTCAGCAAGTATTTTCAAAAGGAAATAAATATGATGATGATCTATAAAATATACTTGAGCAGTTTTCAGCCTGCCACAACAAAGTACTGGAAATGCTCAATAAAATATATTGCAAACCAATTTGCCTTCAAATCATTATTTTATTAAGGTTATCTAAGGGTAAATGGGGAATAATAAGATAAATCCCAAATGATGATTAAAAAAACAAGCCATGCAGAAGCAGAAAAACAAAAAATCAATCAGATAGGAGTAGTCAAATATGTAACTAAATCTATTAATTTAATCTTGTATTTAAACAGTATATACTGACCACTCATTACTATTGGAAACAGTGCTATGTGAGGCTATCATAGTACCTAAGACAAGCCTAGTAGCCAGCCTACTGCTGTGGGGTTCACAATTTAGTTGAAATACTAAGCAGTAAGCAAAAAACAAATACCATTGAATCAGTCCTGACATACAGTGAGCCCACATGTTAAAGAATTCTTTTTCAGGGGATTTTTCAAGGCTGTGATTTTTGGAAGTAGAATGGTAGGACTTTCTTTCCAGGATGGGTTTTAATGGCCAACCTCTCAGTGAGTAGTTAAATGCTTTACCATTTTGCTACCCAAAGAGTTGTTGATTGCCATTGAGTTGAGCACAACTCATAGTGACCTATGAACAAAAGGCCTGATGCCCTGCTGTAACTACTGACATTTATCAAAGTTCATAGGGTTTCCAGAGGTATGTTATTTAGGAAGTGGATGCCACTCCTGCTTCCAAAAACCAAAGAGTACTAGGTGGCAAACTATAGCTCAGTAATCAATTGTGATGATATTTCGAAAGAGAGCTTGAAGCACACGTTGTAGACTTTTTTTTTTCAGATTTATCTACTATACTAAACCACGATGCCTTTCCTCTCAACTCCACAGAGATGACTTTTAAAATATATCTACTTGTAAGAAGAGTGGTGGGCACACTTTTATCTATATATGATCCTTACTATATTTAATGGTAGGACTAATCATATAATGAACACAATTGCTTCATCAACTGATAGGAGCTTAATTTTTAATTACTATTAGTTCATATTAGTGACAGCCTTTTTAACAAATGGTGTTGGCAAAATTGGAAAAATATCTGCAAAAGACTCAAGCAAGACCCACACCTCACTCCATACACAAAAACCA